CCTTCTGCTTTACCCATGCCATCCATGGGTGGTACAGTCTGGAACAAACATATTTATGAAGCAACTATTGCAAGGTAGATAACCTTCCAGTGATCTTGTGGAACACCCCATCTCTACAGTGACCTTGCGGAGCCATGGACAAGACAGCACAAGTCAACATGGCTTACAGTGTGGATTTTAAGTTGAAGAATACCTGGGCAGGCACCACTTACCACAAAGCAGGATCCATGTGAAAAAGATGGAATAAAGAAAGGCCCTGAGGAAAAGGAACAAAACTTACCAGTTAAAGTTGCACAACAGTCTGGAGGAAAGTCTGGATGTGGTCCACATGTCAACTTGGAAAATCTCCTCCAATGGATGACAAAGATGGGAAGCAAGGGAAAATGTGTGATGACGAATTTGATGGGAGGATACATGAAACAAGGTATGGGAGGAAGAAGGTAAAAAAAGGAGTAGACCAAATGGAACAGAAGACGGACCCAATTGGTAAGGGTAGAAGGGGAAAGATCATGAAGGGAAGAGGATTGTCAGGGATTGAAAAAGGCAGTTGCACATACCCAGGAGGGTAGCTGTACATGCAATATAACATTGTAGGACCCTGGCATGACACAGCAATTTGTGAGGGTCTGGATGACGGTAAAGATAGAAGGTAGAAGAAAAAGAGGAACAACCTTCTTGAGCCACCATGGTTTTGGGGTGCAAGGAACGATCAGGATATAGGAGAAAATAGGTAGGATGATAAAGAGTATATTAAACGTCAATGGCAAATAAATAAGATCACGGACATCCGCAGGACAAAAGGATTAGGAAATATGTCTTAATGGACAAATGAAACAAGGAACATGAGTAAAGTGATTCAAATGATTCTAATCTGGAAGGTCTCTGAATCTGGAAGGAACGCATGAGCATAATGAATCCAGGGGAAGTAAAAACCCAATGGTATCTGTAAAAATTGAAGTGAAATTAACAAACGACCAGAGACGTAACAATACTATGCTACTATTGGTTAATAGATGATGCATGATGATTTGCATGAGAGACATATTGGAATGTTCTAATTCCAACAAGGCTTGTGGCATGCATAAAGAAAATGTGTGCATACAGAATAGCTAATCTTGTGAAAGGTGATAAGTATCTGTCGGAACTTACTGCCTTGCTGAGATATAACTAAGAGTTTGTATGTTTGCATGCTTCTCAGAACAGGTGTTACTCACTGTCAGGGGGGGGGGATATGCTTGTTTGTGTAGAGAAATTTAAAGATAATGTTCCATATGTTAATAGTATATAAGTTTTAAGTTTTTAATTCTATAAGGCAATATTAAAACAAATCCTGAATTTCCACTAGTGTGACCCACATGACACATTTTCTCTTAGTATTTCATCATCCTTATTTTATACATCACCCCTAAAAAATGTACGAAATTAAATGTAAATTACTCTATAAAATCATTATTGCTCAGACAAACCAAAATTTTTATAGTCTTCAATTTTGTTTTGTTACAGAGCTATCGAATAGAAAATCAGACCCCCTCCTGCCACATCCTCTCTTTCACAATTCATTGATAGTTCTCTCTCTTATGTTTCATTATTTATTACCAATAGAAAGTCAAGGTTTTCATCTATCAAATGACGTATTGTATAACGTTGTCTTCTGAACACGAAAGTGTCAATTTCACTCACAGTACAAGCTTTGTTCCCATAAGAAAGTTAACGACTAGCTTGGATGAATTTGCAACAGCTCTTGTCACATAGTTAGAAAGCCAGAAAAATTGAGGTAAGGGAATTTGTCTGCTTTTTCCATGTTATTAGTTTATATTCTTTAGTGCATTATTTAATTAAATAAAAATTATTAAATGGATTACTATTAGTACTATAAAAAGTTAGGGTTAACTCTCTTTGAAACCTGACAGTACGAAAAAAGAATTTCTTGTTTTTCATATTTATTCTTTACTTATTATTATAAGAGTAACTAAAATCTAAAAATATGGACCTTTTTAAGTTATTTAAGA